TTATATTAATGGGTTTTGCTTAAAAGATGAATCTTTGATGTTGGAATGAAAAGGGTCCAATTGGGTATAGCTAACTTCAATGAGTTTGGAGTTTATTTTTGTAGTTATTGTTTTGTTATATTGGAAATGAGTTATTGTTGTTGAGCTGAAAGGGTATTGATTTTTAGTGTTTTTTAGTAATGGGTTTTGTTTAAAAGTTGAATCTTTGATATTGGAATGAAAAGGGTCTAATTGAGTATAGCTAACTTCAATGAGTTTGGAGTTTATTTTTGTAGTTATTGTTTTGTTATATTGGATATGGGTTTTTGTGTTTGAGCTGAAATTTGATCTGTATTGATGTATGAATTGCATAATTGCATACAGAGTGTTGTACTTCAATCTGAGAATTGTTTGCTTTTCTCTTTTTTTGGCTACAGTTACTGTTTAGCTATTTTGTTTGGGTGATTACAGTGTTTTGTTTTATTTAAGTTGTTGGTCGAATTTGGGAACTGGGTATTGATTCTTATTGCTTTTTATTAATGGGTTTTGCTTAAAAGACAAATCTTTGATATTGGAAATGAAAAGGGGTCCAAATGGAGCAAAAGGGATATGGAGGATTCATACAGCCGGCCCCAATTAGTTTAAGATTAGGTCATAGTAGTTATTGGTGTTGTTATATTGCAAATGGATTTTTGTGTTTGAGCTGATATTTGATCTGTATTCATTCTTTGGAAGTATTAGGTTGGCTTAACAAATGGTTGAGCTTCTTTTTGAATACTTTGGTTAAAAGACTTGCTGATGAAAACTGGTAATCAAAGTTAATATTTAAGACTACTAGGTCAAAACTCCTTTTATAAGAATTGTATACATGAACGCGAACCTTATATATGGTATTCCGGTTTCAAGATATATATATATATAGATATATCAACGGCTGGACTCTTTTCTGGACTTCCTTAATGTTGATATTATCAAAAAGTGGTTGGCTTGTGATTCCTTGTCCTCATGCTTGCTTTGTTAATTGTCTCTTGAAGATTCTGTTGCTCAAATTTATTTTGATTTTTGTCTTGGTCATCCTTCTTCCAGTAAAATGGATTTTTTCTCTAGGAATACAAGTGATGACTCTTCAGGTTTCCAGCAAGACATTGCTAGGTGCCCATTTTTGACGAATATCAATGAGCCAACTAATTTTTCCTTCTCAAGCCCCATTGGTTTTCCCGTTCCAGTAAGTTGTTAATTGATCACTTATTTGCAGAAGAACTTTTCTTTGCATCTTTGTAAAATAGTTTGCATGTTGCTGAATCAATCCTGCTAAGGCCTCTCATTTTTGTCTGCTACATTGGTGGGGTGACCATGTCCCTGTCATTCTAAATTGATGTGAAGTCTTTCGCATGATAGCTGCTGCACCTGAATCAGGTACGTGGAGGAAAAGGTCCTATCTTCGAGGATGGTCCTAACTTTGACATGGCATTCAGGCTTTTCCATGGCCAGAATGGTGCTGTCCCACTTTCTGGGAGACTGTCCATTACGAATGAGAAAGCAGATCCTGAACCTGCAGCTCGTCATTTCAACCCTTTGGTGGCAAAGGCAGCTACCATAAGTCTCTCATCTTTTGGATTTGGAGGACCATTTGGTTTTGATTCATTCTCTGAGAAGTGGAAGAATCAAAAGAAGAAGTCTGAGTCATCCAAAAGACAGGTTTGAGCCATTTCCTTTCAGTTTTGTATCTCCCAAATTTCTCAATATGTCAAAACGGTTGAATTTCATTGTAACTTCTGAAATATGACTTTGTCAAATGTTCATGGTCCAGTGAAACACTTTATTTGACTTCTTGATAGCAATATGTCAAAATTGTTAATTTTCGTATAACTCTTGAAATATGATTGTTGGTGGACTTGAGAAACTTTTCATTATTGATAGAATAACCAAAACTCAGTCATATTGTTCTTGCTAACCATCATTTTGGATCTATCAGGGAGGAGATTCAGAACATGAAGCACTAAGCAATGAGTGGTTGCAGAATGGGAATTGTCCTATTGCGAAGTCGTACCGTGCTGTAAGTACTGTCCTTCCTCTTGTAGCAAAGGTTTTTCAGCCCCCTCCTGGTGTGAAACTCAAGTGCCCCCCTGCTATAGTAGCTGCCCGAGCTGCTCTATCACGGACAGCCTTTGCGAAAAACTTGCGACCACAACCTTTGCCTGCAAAAGTATTAGTGATTGGTGTTTTGGGCATGGCAGCAAATATTCCTTTAGGCGTATGGAGAGAACACACTGAAAAATTTTCACCATCTTGGTTTGCAGCTGTACATGCAGCTGTGCCATTCATAGCCATTCTGAGGAAGTCCATTTTGATGCCTAAAGCGGCTATGGCGTTTACCATTGGAGCATCTGTTCTGGGGCAAGTGATAGGCTCAAGGGCAGAACGACTTCGGCTCAAAACAGTTGCAGCTAGGGAACTGGTTCCTACGGAAAGCTCTACTCCAGGACACATCCATCTAGTCATTGATGGAGCTAGAGGGGGACACTGCAACGAGATTGTTGCTTCGAACAAGGTTCCTTTGCATGCCGGTGTCCTTTCATCAGCTAGTGTAGTTAGCTGATGCTTGGCATCTATAATGTTGTATTGATTAACCTAATGCAGGATGTGCCTGCATCTATTCTTTGCATTTGTTGTAGTCCATGGGCAAAGTTCAGCCTTAGAGAGAGAAGTTGTGAGGATGAGCATTATTCTTGTTTGGTGAGAGTTTGTATTTTTGTGAAGTACCAATAATATTTGAGTGTGTTTCATGTGCCAAAATATACCAAAGTGATTTTCTATTTATGATTTCGGTTTGAATATCAAAAAAAATTCCAAGTATTTAACAATAACTAGATGTTCCTCTCAGTGTCGGAGCCAGGAATTCATAGCGCCACACCACACCTATAGCAATATTTGAACCTCTTTACCAAACAACAACTACTAGACTAATGATACACAAAAAGTCCATTCCATTAGAAATCTATTAGTACATGGGAGAGTTTACAAGGTGTTTTTGGCTAATATATATGATGGTACAATTCAATTAGGGAAAATGCCTTTAGGGATAACAACATCCCCAATGTTGTTGTGCCATGGGTCAGCCAAGTGAGTTGCCAAGTTCTCCAATGGTCCTGTTCCTGGATATGCTGATTGTTGTACACAAAATCCCACAAATGCCAACAATGCAAGACGACCTAATCACAGATAATCATTCATAAAAAGTGAGATTGATATTGTCAGCATATATAACTTAAAATCCGTCAAGAGGAGTGAGTTAATATTCTAACCATTCTTGATTTCCTTGACTTTGAGTTCTTCAAATTTAGCAGGGTCTTTAGAGTAACCCAATGGGTCAAAAGCCCCACCAGGGTACTTCTTCTTTTCTGAATCCTTTTCCATACTCCTTTGATGCTCTACAAAGGCTATGGCTAGAAACTCAATAACCAAAATAGTAGGAAGTGTTCCCCATGGAACAGGCTGGCCCAAATATGTAGCTTGTCCTCCAGGAATGGCTGCCCATTCTTGGGCCTTGACCCAATTGCCTAAGCCCAATGCCTCTGGTACTAGGATTCCGGGCTTCAAAAATTGTAAACAAGGAATTTCGTTAAGAGTGTTCAAGTTATAACGTATAAAGACTAAGCTTTATAGTAGAGAAAAAGAAGCTTACAACAGCAAGCATAGCCCATCTGCAATGAATAAGTTCAGATTCTTTGTATCTTTCCAAATTTTCTGGTACTTCTCCAAAACCAAGTGGATCAAATCCGAAATCTCTGCATTTATATATTTACAAATTAAAACTTGCATAAATAATAATACAAATTTATACGTTTCAAAATGTTTGACGTTAATTCTACTTATATAACCATCATAACTTTCAAAAATTAAAATCCATGAAGTTATCCAACTTTATATAACTAACGACTTAAATATTGTGTAAGATCATACATCATCACATAAAATGAAACGAAGGGAGTACTACTACTTACCCGGGGGCTGAGCCATCGAGGTAGGATGGACGGGGCTGCCCGGGCATCCAATCGGCGGACATGGAGAATCGAGACATGGAGTTGGTAGCTCCGACGGACACCGGCATCGCCGCGGCGAATTTGGACTTGGAAGAAGAGAGAAAAGAGGGGCAAACAGCTGGAATTCCACAACTCATCAATGTATTAGAAGCCATCCCTTCTTCCTCTTTTTTTTTTTTTGTAATTAAAAGATGTACAAAAAAAGTTGGATATGAGTAGAGAAGAAAGAAGAAAATGGATATGAGAATGAAAAATTGTGGAGTGTATAAGGAGGGAGTTTGAGATATAGGCAAATCTGAATTTTGATTGTTATTGGCTAAAGAGACTGGTTTCTGTTTTGTGATTGGTCCACGTGGAAGATGAAGTGGATATTTTGAAGGATATGTGATGTTGCTTTTGTGGCTAAGGTTGTCCTAGCGGGAGAAAATATCATATTTGGGGGTTATGATAAGTTTACATCAATCAAATTCATTAATCATTGATTAGAACATGATTATGCTATATAAGCTTACAAGTTAATATTGACAGTGGAATTTACATCTTAAGTTTCTTCTATTTTTGGTGGGGGTAAGGGGATTAATCACGAAGGAGCCGATATCCGGTTCGACTAATTTAGATACGCATATCCGTCAGGTAGAAACTTATCCAGCAATGTAATTTAACATGGTTACTTAATAAGTAATTAGGTGAAAATGAGTATTGTTTAATTATCCTTAGTTTGGTATAAATGCTGAATGAAGTAAGTGTATAACCGTCACATAGAGCCCATTAAGAGGGAGGACTCCCTACTAATCTACTAGATATTTCTCTATTCACGAGGTTTGAACCTGATACCTTAGGTTAAGGATGGATTGCACCATATATCCGGGGGTTACAACTTTTTAAGTTAAAAAGTACAGCTGACAAATCACACACTTGGCCAGCAATTTTCATACATCCATGAAAAGTTTAATCCTACTAAAAAAAGTTGTTGATGCATTATGTCTGTATCTTAGAGCTCTAGTCATTGCAAAAATCATAAAAAGTAGTTCTCTTGAACAGTATATTGCTAAACAGAACCGCGACGATATCAGAAACTTTCCTACAGCATGAAACTCAAGGCTATCTGAGTATTTTAGAAGAACCAGATGCAGGTCAATCAATTGCCAGTTTACAAGTATACAGATCTTTGTTGAGGATTAGATGTTCCCAGAATGTACGTTGTCACCGATTTGCACCACCATCTGAATCGTGAGGCTGCTAAAATTCATCATCTGGTTTCACGATATTCACATCCTCGAATTCATTGTCATCTAAAAGCAGGAAAGATGCACAGTTATAATGAGCAAAGATTGACCAAAATGCATATCGTAATGCTAAAAGTTAGAACAGAATAGTATAAAATCAAATGTGAATTTTCAAAAATTGAAAAGCTCTTGGGAGGGACATGAAGATCACAACCAAAAAGCTAAACAAGTTTAACCTCAAAATCACCATAACAATCAAAAGCACTACCGGTTTTCTTGTAATTTTGGACATGTGAGGCTGCATGCTTGCATTGCCACTAGAAGTTCAAAAGATTCCAGTCCCAAGATAGGATCAAGACTAGATAGAAGTTCAAATGGTTCCTGTGACGCTCATGATGGAGGGTGAGTCACATAGAAGGATTGGCAGGTTTCTAGGCTGCCAAGCTTCTAAAGGAGTGCACATATTACCTTCAGCGAATTCCACATCGAAATGGTAGAGGAAAATGAAGAGTTCTATAAGACATACCACAAGTTCATATGGTATGGCCTCTTTTGGGCTCGATGATGACGTAGCCCAAGGGAAAATTCCATGAGGCCTGTAGGTCAAAACGGACAATATGTGCCATGGGCTTGGGTCGTGACATTTTCGGTACCAAGATAGGATCAAGTCCTAAAGCAAACTATGGAGGTTTATACTTGTCTAGTCAATGAATACTTAATGCTGATATTCTGAGATATGGATGAATGGGAATAAACAGAACAAATAGGAAGCTGCACTTGTTTAAAGAGGCTGCAAAGGACAAGAAAGAGGAGCATTTATAGTGAAGGAAACCGGTGCATGCCCTCCTCTTGAAAGAAAGAACTCGATTCTGTCTTTTCCCTTCCACCCTTTCTTCCTATTCTTAATTTTACTTTCAAAATTATAAACTTTGTAAAGACACGTTTCTCCCAATATCTCTCCTACATTCTCATAGTATTAATAATAAACTACATTTTTGCCGTATTCCAGTTAATCCAAATCAAATAAGCACATGCACTATCATTTCCTGTCAGTACAAAAAAGTATATGCAGCTATTCCAATCATCCACTCCACTCACTGTTTTCCTTACTCAGACCTAAATATAAATAGCTAGTACTCCCTCACTTCCACTTAGATAGGTCCTCTTTTCTTTTTCACTGTGTTGATAATTCCTTATTTTCATTTTGGGTAGTGATGAACAAAGAATTCACTTAAAATTAATGTGCCAAAACCCATAACATTTTAAAACTAACCTTATTTTTTTGGTGTAAACAAAACTGTATAGAGGAAGTAGAGGAGTTGGTTGATTTCCTAGGTACTTTGTAAAGTTTAGATTTGAATCTCACTCCCCTGTAACATGTTTCAGATGGTGGACAGCATTTCTAATGCTGAAGAATACAACAGTACTAATTCTCAAAAAAATGAAAACTCTTAAATAGACTTCCCACCTACCTAAGGATTTGTTTCTTACTCGACATTAAACTCCTTGAAGTCTAAAAGGAAGATTAATCTCTTGAACAGATGCTACAAACATATTTATAACAATTTGGAAGCTCGTGATAATGAGAAAGCAAGGAAAGTGTACTCCACGTAGCCATCACGAAGTAACAAGGATAAATCTACCAGTTTATCAGGCCTCTTTCCAGTTCACCTAAAATAAGCTAGGCTCTTCTTTGTATTTTGTTCAGTTAATAACCCTTTCTCCATAATGTTGATTCAGCGATTCCCCTTACTAAGTATTTCCATTGAAATAAGGTCAATCTCCTTTAGGTCATCCATGACATCACCAACCTCCACTCGTGTTTGTTGAATTAAAATACTTCACAGCCTATCCTTTCCATGTGAATTGCAGTTGCATCCCACATATTAAACTCCTATATATTCATTTAATTTAACTTACATGCCCGCATGAGGCGGAGGTGGAAGTGAAGATCAATGCACTAGTCATACCCAGAAGGGAAAGCTTCAAATATCTTGGATCCATTATTCAAGGTAAACCTTAGTGTTAATTTGTTTCTTCATTATTGTCATGGATTACCACACATTCTTATGGTATATCTTCCAAAATCTATACCTATCAGCTTTTGTGGCTGATTTCCCTAGGATTTCTCTAGGGTGATTCTTGAGTGAGGCATTTCTAATCAAGATAAGAAATGAGTCCCACCAAAGCTAGAAGACACAGATAGCCAATGATTATTCGCACGAAACAAAAGTTCATTCATCTTGAGCATTTCTTGCCCACCAGCGATTCTTTGGAAGTAACATAAAAGTACATTTGGGGAATGAGGAGATGAATTAGAGGCAGTCAAGAACAAACAAATTGACTTACGAAACAAAATTATCAGCTAATCAACTACAGAAATATCCACTAAAACTGGGAAAAGACAAATGCAACAGGGATGAGAACCTTTTCTCAGAGTCAGCGCCACCACAGCGTCATTTTCAACCTGAAAAGTGTTCAAAAACATTAAAAAAGAACAAATAATGCCATAAACTTGGATTAAATAAAGAAGTAAAGATAATCTGCTTGAGAAAAATACTTCATGAACCTCATGGACTTATTTCTTGTTATCGACGTATACTCATGTGACTCTCTCCATCACATTATAGATGTCATAGGGGTATCAAAGTAGGAATATAACATTAATCTAAAATGGATGTAAATTGAGTGTGAAGACACAATTATCCTGTTACAATGTACATGTAAAGTTAAAAGAGCTCATTTTCTTAGTAAGGTGAACAAGTTTACCAATAGTGGGGAAAAACGGCGCCAAAAGGTTGAGAATCTACAACATAATATGATCCTTTTTTGATGAAGAACATAATATGATCCTCTATGAACAACCCCAATCTTCTACAGAAGTACTTCCATCTGCCCAAGTCTTGGTGGGTGGATACATGGTATCAATATTGGTGAGAAGTATCCGGTACCTAATGGAATAATCAAAGTATGTGGAAGCTGACCCAGACACTACCGTCATCCAAAAAGAAACCCAATTTTTATACACACAAGAACTTCATGGGTGCACCAAAAAGAAACAAGAAATGAAAGGTTATTCCTCACATGTAAATAGTCGTTCTCCATCCCATTTCCGGTTGATCCCTTAAAAGAGCTCTAATAATGTGTATTGCTGTTAATATGAGATATTAAAAAGAGTATTGAAAAGTTTAAAAGAAGAAAAATTTGTTTTCAATTATGTGGTTGCCAGTTTTAGAACAGACCAAAAGGGAAAGTTGGACAGGTCATTGGCAATAGAAGTAGAATCTGTATCTGTATGGATACAATTGATAAAAAGAGACTCAAAAACTGCTGATTACCCAAACTATAGACGATATTATATTTTCTAATTGTACCAACAGATCATATGATATCATGAAAAATGATGATGATAAGTATGGACAAAATTTACCTTCTGATCAGCTAGGGACTTCGAGTCTTCCAACACATCTCCAGCAGGCATCAGGACTAATTGCTGATCATTAGCAGGTTGATCTATGAGGTTAGACAATTTCTCCTTCATTTGTAGAATTGTCTCAGTTGGGTCACATTGAATAAAGTAGGTGGTCTTATTACGCTTCACACGGATATACATTGCCTGCATAGAGAAAAGAGAGATTAAAGAACCAAATTGATTTACAGTATGGAAATAATCCATCAGCGTCACATTCTCTTTGAAGTTACCTATGCTTCTAGTTGATGTTCAAATACACGCTAAGATATTATAATACTCGGTAGTGGTTCCATTAGTTTTTAGGTTTATATGTTATTATCTAGATCCATCATCCATGTGGCATGTAGTTCCTTGGTTTTTTGAAGGTTATATCCATCTTAATTTGCATATTTTCATTGTTTTTGAGTCTGGTGATAATACAAACAAACAGTCAACAATTTATTTGTCCTAACAGTGTAACTTCCAAAAGAGTTCTGCTTTGTGAAGATTGGCAAATATTAGCTTAATGCCATATTTATTGTATAAACCCCTGGTGATTGCCACTCATACTTGCTCTGCCAGACTTACATAGTGATCATAAACAAGAAAGTAATACTAATACTAATCATGTAATAAATACTTATATTTGTCTAAAGGAAACTTTTAATGTTTACTTCCAGGCATTTTCTGCCCATATATATAAGTATATTCATCTTATTTATCACCTCCAAAAAAATTCAATTGCCTTCTCATATAAATATATTCATCTTATTTATCACCTCCAAAAAAGTTCAATTGTCTTCTCACTCTGTGTATTGACATTTGACATAAGTACATAACATTATAAAGCAAGCTTCGAAGAAGGAGGTGTACTCAGAGGCTCCGACCAGATGGACTATAGTCCTCCCTCTCTCTCTTTCTCTCTTGTGTTTGTCTAAAAAGGTGATCATGGACAAATAAAATGGCAGCATTGAAATTTAGATAAAGTGGAGTCCTCCTGCTCTTTCCAACGGTCCATCAAGCCATAATCTTTCTGCTAATTGCACTTAAATCATTCTTCCCCATTCTTCTTCATGTATGTATTACCCTTGAATGAGTAAAGATCCATTTATGAAGAGTATATGCATAATGTGCATTTACTTGGTAAGATACATGTACATACTGAAACATAAAAATTGGATTACGCCGAGAAGTTGTCAAGCATCCTAAACTAAGCCATCTCCTTAACCACTCAACCCAAGGCTTGCAAGTACTCAAACAATAGTTGCTTCTTTGTAAAACTATGGTAAGTGAAGGTGTTAAAACGGCCCGTGATAGACCTAAAATCACAAGGAAGTTGTCTCGAAAGACCTACAAAACCTAGGTATCAATGCAAACTTGGCATCAATATAAAATTTTTAGTTAAATATAGGGCACACTGGAAGAAAAAGATCCAGATACATGATATCTACTAGTTGAGAATACGATCTAGGCTTGTTAGAGAACTTCTATTATTATTATTTGTATATATATAGTTATTTCTATATATATGAAACTTACATTTCACTTTATTTATTTAAAACGATGATGATTTGACATGAGCTTAAATGAAGAAGAAGAGATTCATATAGCCGATCCCAACTTGATTGGGACTGAGTCATAGTAGTAATTGTTGCTGTTGTGGTTCCTTTCTCAACTTAAGAAGGAATTGGAGTTCTTGTATTTTCTTTAATCCAGAAAAACAAGCAATAGAATATCCAGTCGACCTCGGGTAGCACTACCTAACTGGTTGGGCTCAATCTATGCTTAACTCTAAGCTCAGAGATTTGTCTATTCATAACCTATTATGCTGAAATTCTCAGCTAAATTCCCACGTCAACCAGAAAAAAAAGGAGAACACTGTCAAGGAGCAAAGCTAATAAGAAACTGCCCTCTATGATCAAACACCATTTGTTGGCAAACAGAAAAGCATGCTAATAATCTTCTTCGTCCAGAGTAACCACTAAAATTGGAAACCAAATGCATCAGAGCAAATAATTCACCTAATAGCATCCAAACTAACGAGTATTTTGAGAGAAAGAACTCATAAGTATTAATAACGTAGTGCAATTGAGGGCAGTTTTTCCTCTGTCATAATATATCTAGAAGAAGACTTCTTAAAAGTAAAACCCAAAATTTGTAAACCTCATGGCAATACAATATTAAATATTAAGGCTCAAACAGCAATCATATGAACAGCTTATCCACATAGTACAATCAATCAAGTATCTCACTGGCTCGCTCCCACTTATTTGGGGTCTGCTATATTATGGTTGGATATAAAATTAGTTACAGGTCAGCCAAACACAATAACTTTGGCTCAAATCTTGTATATGCCTTCGGCAAAATGAAGATAAAATTGATACTGACTCCTCGGAATTTGGTAACCTCAACTCCATTAACAAGTAACAACTACTTATTCAATACTTTTTCGCTTTACACCCATTATCTCAAGTTTTTGAACAAACTAATCCATTGCCACAAATAGTTCACCAGAGAAAATTAAGTTCCCCACCCACCCCCAACCCCCAGAGTGAACATTTCCAGAATTATACAGAGGAAAAGAAGTAGACCCAAATCAAATAGATATATGAGCAACAAAACGGAGATCATATCAATACTGACTCCTCAAAATTTGCTAAGTTCAATTCCATTAACAACTACTTATGAATCCATTTTCCGCTTTACATCCATAATCTCAAGTTCTGGACCAAACCAATTCATTGACACAATTACACAAACAGTTCATGGGAGAAAATTAAGTCCCCCACCCAAACCCCAGATGAGTATTTCCAAAATTATACACAGAAAAGAAGTATACCCAAATCAACTAGACATACGAGAAGTAAAATTGAGATAAAATTATGGCATACACCTACACTGAAACACACACATCACCCCAACACCCATCCAGGTGATCATTTCCAGAATCATACAGAGGAAATGAAGTATACCCAAATCAACTAGACATATGAGAAGTAAAATTGAGCTAAAATTATGGCATACACCTATACTGAAACACACACACATCACCCCCACCCACAAATGAGCATTTCCAGAATTATACAGAGTAAATGAAGTACACCCAAATCAACTAGATATATGAGTAGCAAAATGGAGATAAAATTATGCCAAATACCTATAAACACACACACATACATCACCCCCACCCCCAAATAAGCATTTCCAGGATTATACAGAGGAAATGAAGTGTTCCCAAATCAACTAGACATATGAGAAGTAAAATTATGGCATGTACCTACACTGAAACACACACAGAGAGATCAAAATTGATAAGAAAAATTCAAGAATGCAAAATGGGTATTGACAAGAAATTGAAACAATCGAAGGGGAATTAAAGGAAAACACTAAGAACAAACCATGGTGTCTATCGTCGGTGATTCTTCTTCTTCTTGACCAAAAAAAAATTGATCTTTGGCCGTGGGGTTTCTTCAAGCTAAATGTCGGTTTTTAGGTGGCAAAGTTAAGGCGTTAAATAAGAATTGGCCCTTTAAGATTGAGAGTATATCAATTTGACCCCTATTATTTATAAAATGAAATTTTCGGTGTCTAAATTTTTACTAAACTTTATCCTATCCGGTGTTCGATATCGTATCTTGACTTTGAGTGTTGTAATGTAAAAACCTTGGTAGGGAGTGTTAGTGCATTAGTCGAGTTCCTTTGGTGATTATTTTGTCCCATTTTTTTTATCCCTAATGCTAAATTCAATTTATTTTTCTAAACATAAAATTCAAATACTTTTACTTGACAAAATGAGAAATTTATGTACACCTATGTTATGTATTAGAATGAATTAAGTTTTTTTCCCTTAATGATGACGGCGTTAGAATCAGTTTACACACATTATGATAATTTTTCACCATGTATGTGTAATTGTCTCTTATCAACACATGTATAGAATAATTTTGTTCAGACAAACTTAAGAGACCGCTCGGTAATTATCGAAATTAAGGGAGTATCACAATATAAAATTTGAGATTAAATTTATTTGATGTTTGTCCGTAGGTATAATTAACTAAAATCAAGATAATATATAACTCAATTAAGATTTTATCTATCTCATATAAATAGGCGGTGGGACTATAATTTCAAAATTATAATTGGGATAATCTTGTTTATCATACGACATAAATTCAATAACAGATAGAAGGATTGTTATATTAGAGAATTTTTGGACTATAGTTATTTTTGACTCGCTAAAGTTTTTGTCGACTACTATACCCTCTTTTGTCTCTGGGTGGTGAATGTATCTAGCGAAAATCTTTCCTTGTTTGAATGTTGTCGTTCGCTTTTAAAGTTACATAATCTCAAGATGCTACTGAGTGAACGGATTTTATCAATTAGAAAAATTGTCTGGGGATTTTCGGACTATGCTTATTTTCAACTCGCTAAAGATTATGTCTGCTACTACACCCTTTTTTTGTCTCTAAACGTGACGTTTGTATTCAACGAAAATATTTCCTTATTTGAATTTTGTCATTCACTTTTAAAATTACGTCATCTCAAAATACTACCTAGTGAATGAATCTTTTATTTTGGTATAATTTACATTATCAGCTTGAGAACTCAACACATACCCTATCACATCATCAAAACTAACAACTAGAGTTTGAGTATAATAGCATAGAATCTAATATTTCATAAAAGAATTAAAATGAATATAACTCATGTATTCTCTTATTATATAAGAGGGAGTTTATGATGGGACATTGTGATGTCCAATCATAAACTCCCTATATAATATATAATATATAATATAATAAATTATTTTTTCTACTATATAATATATATTTATTTTTCTACTATAAGGGAGTTTATATAATATATAATAATATAATATAATAAATCATTTACAAATGACTTAAAATATTTCATATTTAAAGGATATATAATAAAATAGGTTCACTCTCAAAATTCTATCCGGGTCACATATATTGGGACAGAAAAAATAACATATATCATTTTAAAATTACCAAAAAAGTATTATAAATAATAATAATTAACAACTTAAAATATCTTAAAGACATTTTAAAAGGGTTAATTTTGTAATTGTAATTTCTACTATATAATAAAAGGGAGTTTATATAATATATATTCTACTATTATATAATATCATAATAAAACCCCTTTTATTATATAGTAGAAATAAATATAATATATATATAATATAATAAATCATTTACAAATGATTTAAAATATTTAATATTTAAAAGATATATAATAAAATAGGTTGACTCTCAAAATTCTATCCGGGTCACATATATTGGGACAGAAAAAATAACATATATCATTTCAAAATTACCAAAAAAGTATTATAAATAATAATAATTTACAACTTAAAATGTCTGAAAGACATTTTAAAAGGGTTAATTTTGTAAGTTTATACATATCACATAAATTAGGACAAAGTGACCAGCAATGTAAGTTATTTGAAAGTTACATAAAAATATTATAAATCACAATAATTAATAACTTAGAACATCTTTTTTTAAAATGCAAATTTGGATGACTCTTCAAATTTCATTTGTGTCACATAAATTGAGACAACAAAAATAACATATATTGCGCCCATTTTAATTTATTTGTCTTAATTTTTTTTTATATTTAAAAATTGCGTAAAAATACTATAAATCATGATAATTGACAACATAAAATATTTCAAAAATAAATACATATAAAAAAATTTGATTAATTCTTGAAATTAATCTATCGTTAAAAATTATGTATAAAATACAATAAATCGTGATTTTGACCACTTAAAATATTTATTAAAAAAACAGAAAAAATAAATTGAATGATTCTTAAAATTAATCTATCAATGTCACATAAAATGAGACAAAAGTAGTAATATGTATTGTTTAATGTGAAATTATTGAAAACTAGGTAAAATGTATTATAAATGTTAACAATTAACAACATTTGATTGAATCTTGAAATTTTATCAATGCTACATACATTGAGACAAGTGGAGTAATACATATTAAGTATTTAAAAATTACGTACAACCATATTGCTTTCTGTAGGCTTCGAATTATCGTGGTCATTTTTTAGGCTGATACAAGTTTTGTACTTTTTTTTTAATATTATAAATCGCAATAATTAATAATTTAAAATATTTTTAAAAATATATTAAAAATTTAGTTGGTTTCGGGAATTTTATTTATACTATATAAAATGGGACAAAGGAAGCAACATATATCATTTACAAATAACTTAAAAAGCATTAAAAATTAGAATAATTACCAATTTAAAATATTTAAAAGCTATATAATAAAATAGGTTCACTCTCAAAATTCTTTCAGGCTCACATATATTAGGACAGAAAAAATAACACATATCATTTTAAAATTACCAAAAAAGTATTATAAATAATAATAATTAACAACTTAAAATATCTGAAAGACATTTTAAAAGGGTTAATTTTGTATTTTTATCCATATCACATAAATTAGGACAAAGTGACCAGTAATGTTGGTTAGTTGAAAGTTACATCAAAATATTATAAATCACAATAATTAATAACTTAAAACATTTTAAAAAAAAAAATTAAAATTTGGATGCCTCTCCAAATTTTATTTGTGTGACAAAAATTGAGACAACAAAAATAACATATATTGGGTCCATTTTAATTTATTTGTCTTTTTTTTTTGGGGTTTTTTATATTTAAAAAATGCGTAAAAATATTATAAATCATGATAATTGACAACATAAAATATGTTTTGAAAAAAAATACAAAAAATTCCACTCATTCTTTAAGTGAATCTATCGTAAAAATACTATAAATCATGATAATTGACAACATAAAATATTTCAAATTTTTTGTATGTGGATAGTCTTATTGTGCCTTGAATAGCGTCAAATAAAGTACAAGTTTGTGATAAAAAAACTTATTCCTTTATCCACGCAAACAATCGCTTCAAAATCTCCGTTATTAGCCCCAAAACATACCATTTATATTATTGGGCCCGTGCCCGTGCATAGCACGGGCAACATTACCTAGTCCACATATAAAAGACCAATTTTCTATCCTCACACCACTATGAAAACTCAACAAATTATGATATTCAACATGCTCTCAATAATTAAAAAACAGCCAATGCTCTGAAGTGTCAATTTTCACTAGTGAAATTGCAAGAAACCTTTAAGCAATTTATGGTATGACTTAACAAAATGAGTGAAAATTATAAGAGACTAAAATTTAAATTACATCATCAATCATTTTATCTATCTAATTTCAATAAAGAAGATTATATTATACTTATATTGATGAAAAATAATAAGTATATCTAATAACATAATTGAAACACATCCTTATTCCATTTTTAATTAAACTTCTACACGAAAACAAAAAAATTGAATTTTCTTATTTAAAATCTTTGATATTTTTTCCAACTAGGATAAACCTAAGCCACAAAACCACCATCACATATCCTTCAAAATATCCACTTCATCTTCCACATGGACCAATCACAAAACACAAACAATTCTTCTTAACCAATTATAATCTACATTTAGATTTGCCTATATCTCAAATTCCTTCCTTATACTCACCACAATTTACACCATTTTTTTCCCATTCTCATATCCATTTTTTCCCCATTCTCATATCCATTTTCTATTTTTCTCTACTCGTCTCCAAATTATTTTTTTGAACATTTGTTAAATTAACCAAAATAAAATGGCTTCTAACACATTGATGAGTTATGGAATTGCACCTGTTTGCCCCTCTATTCTCTCTGCTTCCAAGTCTAAATTCGTCACCGCGTTGCCGGTATCCGCCGGAGTTACCAACGACACGTCAAGGTTCACCATGTCGGCCGATTGGATGCCCGGGCAGCCCCGTCCATCCTACCTCGACGGCTCAGCCCCCGGGTACATAATACTCTTTATTTCATTTTACGTGACGTATATGATCTAGCACGATATGTAACATGTTAATTTGATATATAATAAGTAGGTTTGATAGGCATTAAAGTTGAATTACTTAATTTTTGAAATGTGTGATGGTTATAAGAGTAGAATGACATCAATCATTTTGGAATGACACTTGTTGTTTCGAAAATCCAATAATTGTTAAGGGTGACTATTTGTTGAATATTTTTAACTAGGGAAGATTTATACAATAAATTTGTATTATTCTTTTTATGCTAGTTTTAATTTTATATATATATAAATGCAGAGATTTTGGATTTGATCCACTTGGTTTTGGAGAAGTACCAGAAAATTTGGAAAGATACAAAGAATCTGAACTTATTCATTGCAGATGGGCTATGCTTGCTGTTGTAAGCCTCTTTTTCTCTTATACTCCTTTTTAGCTTTGCTATTTCATGAAAATATTTAACTTATATAGATCGACAATATATAATAATAATTGTATATTATCATTAACATGTTGTAGCTGGTAACTTTCTTTATTTTACGAGTTTCTAGCTAATTCCACTTTATGG